AAGAAAATTAAGAATGGGAGCAGACACTGCGACAAAAAGTCAGGGGACCCTATTTTCCCATACTGTTCACCATGTAGGAGATATTGTGTGGTGCAAGCATCACAACCGTATGTAGCATCAGGGACCTCTAAAATCTAAGAAATGCTATCTGGATGAGGCCAGTGGCCCATGTAGCCCAGCGCCCTGTTCCCATACTGGCAAACCAGCTCCCCACAGAATCTCTCAACCGGGATGAGTGCAGAAGTTCCACCTGCCCAAGCTCTTCAGCAACTGGTGTACACAGGCATGCTGCTTGGTAACAGCGGTAGCACATATCCAACTCCTCCATGAGTTTGTCCAAACTCCTTTTGAAGGCCATTCAAATTAGCAGCCATCACTACTTCCCACAGCAGTTAATTCCATAGCTGACCTATGCACTGCATATGAAGCAGTACTTCCTTTTATATATCCTGCATCTTCCACCAATCAGCTCCATGGGATGACCCTGGTTCTAGTATTATGGGAGAGGGAGAAAAGTGTTACCTTCTCCACTTCCTCCACACCATGCATAATTTTAAACACCTCTATTATGTCTCTTCCTTCCCCCTTTTAAGCCAAACAATCCCAGTTGTTGCAGAAGGGAGTTGCTTTGTGCTAGTTTGTTTTCCTGTGAGGTAGGAGGTGCCTTGTTAATCCCAAAACAGAGATGCTTGTTCGTAACACTCATGAACTCAAGTTAACACCCCTTTCCTTCCATGTGTTTAACCTCACTTATTAGCAGATAATTCCCATTTACTTATATTACTGTTATTCCATGTCTCCAGAATACACGCAGCAGTTAACATTCCTCAATTATTTGCTGCAGTAACTAAATATAGCATTCAATCAATCATAAGCTTGACCAGATGAATACTTTTATTTGACAGCCAATGATATAACGATGATTAATACTTCTGGCTTCCATTTCAACCATTTTAAGACCTTCTGAATGTCTCACAGAAAAAGGCTGACAAATGTTTTCAAGCAACTTTGAGCATAGCATTTTCTCCTTCCACCCCCACTGATTCATTTTGAATAGTCACTTATTTTTATTTAATCTTTTTCACTACAGGTATAAGCTGATATTTATGCACACAAACAGAGTAACACTATAAAACCTCAGAACAGAGTTTATGATCCAATAGTTTTCCTCCAAAATAGTGAAAAGATACAGATGAAGTTAATATCCTATTTTAAAGGGAGGGGGAAGAATGAATTCTACGAATCCTATCTTATGGGAGGAAACTAAAACTGGAGAACTAGGATTTTAGGCAGATCTTGGAAATCTCATTTTACCATGCAATCATGAGAGAGCATGATAGAGTTATATACCAATTTCTTTTCCCTGCAGAGCTCCTGCCCTAAAGGTTAATGCATACTAAAATGCTATGAATACCTTATAAGTCAGAAACTTGGCAGAAGCTATCCACAAGCTCAACATGTTGATATTCATTACACTTATTTCATCACAACAGTACCCCACTCCTCCTCAAGAGAGCACAGACTAGCATACATGAAGTTAACGTAATTTATGATTCCACCAGTCCTGTGAGAGAAGTTAAGTTTTCAAAAGCAATTTTCACAAAGCCAGACCACAAGTTGGAAGAGGCTTATTCCCTAGCCTCGAACCACATTGCAAGCACAGAGGATGAGAAACATCTTGAATAGTCGCTATTCCCATTCTGAGCCCTTTCAGGCCAAAGGATGTTGCTTGACCAGACTCTTCATATTCAGAAACCTCACTTCTAGAACAGTTGCTTCCACTGCCATGCCGCAGGTCCTAATGGCTGCAGAGGCATCCAGGGGCATTTCAAAGGCTCAGAAACACCTCAGAGGGACAGAACCTGCAGCAAGATGAACCTGGTCAGCCTTCAGAAAGCCTGTGCACTTTGCTTAGACAACAAGTCCTCTTCCATGGGTAAGAACAGCCCCAAATGTACTAATATGGAAGGCATCTGTAGATCAAGCATGCATTATGGGACCACAGGGAAGGACTATACACTCAAGATGATTTGCTTCCATTTCATAAAAATCTGCCAAGGGAAGAATACGGGTAGCAAAAAGATGTATCTGAGGTTCAGACAGTAGGAACAAGAGTGGTGACACCCACATTGTTATCCTTTTGGCATCATGGTAAGAATCTTTTCTCTCAGGCATTTTAAATATTTTTATTGATATAGACTCTGCTACTATAATCCTTGTGATTTTGGGCAGGGTCTGGCTTTTTGTACCTGATGATGGTTTCAGTCTTTATAATCTCTAGTCTATTGTTTATCTTTCTGTCTTAGACTCTTCACTGCTGAGCTGGATTTTATTAATCTATCATGTTTTATTGTTTAAGTGAAACGTGCAATGTCTAGAAAATCGATTTTATGAACCATGCAATAAATGTAATATATAAATGCAAAATGTATTTCAATTGACAACCAGAAAGTTTTCAAGGATGATCTTGTCCTAATGTTACCAACTGCAGCACCCCAAAACACCCCAAAAGTAATTGGCCAGAGAAAGGCCCCAAAAGTAGTTGGCCAGAGGAAGGCCACATAGTAAAAACACCACAGTTATGCTGTCCCAAAAGAGAGGGCAGATACGAACAAAATGAACTCTATGTAACCCGCAGCTAACACGGTAGCCTGACCTCAACTACACTAATCAAAGGGACAGTGGAAACTGGTTCTAGCTGCCATGAAAGTTGCAAATGTGCAGGGAGTAAGAACATGGCAAGCCTGTGTGGATCTCGAGCAGATAAGAAATAGACATGGGAAATGTCTGGTCCTTGACAGAAGAAAGGACTCTTTCTCCAGCACGGGAGGGGGTGCATACATTGATGTATTGATGTATTAGATGTGTATTAGGTGACCTAATTGGTTACCTAGGGTATAAAACGCATGTACTGGGGTGCAACTTTTGAGACACTGCTTTGGGCTGAATGTCCCCTTTTGTCTCCCTTTATTCTATAGTGCACTAGAATAAAGCTGATTTTGGCTCCAAGTCTCGTCTCAGGCTCTGTTTGGCTCGGGTCTAGGGTCCACCCAGGTTTGCCCCAGCTGTTGACTGGCTCAGTCCGGTAACATTAGCTTCTCCCTTTATTGTGAGGAGATAGTCAAGAACACACCAGGACAAGCTGTGTTTATACCAAAACACAACTCAAAACTCAAACTATGATGAGGAGAGCAGAGCAGAGAAGACACAAGCCCTAGAACTTCCCCCACTCACACCTCAATACCACCTGTGGGGAAAGAAATAACTCAACAATGACTCTTTTAAAATGTGTTGCCATAGAAAGCTTAGCAGTTAAACAAGCTGGAATTCAACTGTTCTGTAGGATTCCTTTTTAGAATGGTGACTACTACTCATTTCTCTGATCCAGGATCTACTTTACAGACACTTCACTGCAAAACTGCCCCTGGCAACAGAAACTTTGCATAATACATTTTGAAGTCCCTGAATTAGAAAGGACACGTTTTAATGCTGAATATGTTAGCTGAAGACACACACTTTTGCCTACAGCATAAGCTGATGGAATTGCTGTTGATCATAACATAGGAATGTGAAAAGCATTCACAATTGTTCATGTGAGGAAGAAAACAAACTAAATTGAAAGCATTTAAGGATGACCACTTTTGCAATGAAACAACAAAGAGAAGTTGGTTTCTAATTGAAAGCACACTGATCCTCTTAAATAGACCTCATATGTGACTTGCCATGCAAAGCCATTTAAAAATGACTAATAATCATGGCATTGTGAGATAAGAAGGAACATTATCCTGTACCAGCAGCAAAGTGAAAGGTGTCTTAATAAATGAGTGATATATGAAACACTGGGTAAAAAGTTTGTTTCCTAAGATAATAGTTTTTCTTTCCTTTTAAGTGATTAAGGAGGAAACTTCATGTTATGAAAAAACAAACAAACCACCCAGTAATTGTAGCTAAACATTATAGTAGCAACTGGAGGTCATCTGCAGGCAAGATTCAGGAATGGGAGGGAGTCCTTAACCCTGACTGTGCCTGCTAATTCCCCCCAGCATACAGTTTCTCTTCCCTTTTTCTCCCAGCCAAGCTCTGTGATGCAAAGAAGCTGAGCGTAAAGAGAAAAGGAGCCCACATTCACACCAATAAACAAACAAATCTGGAAAGTATATTTTCTAAAAACACAGGTCATTATGATCTTATCTATGTTCCTAACACATGGCAAATTAAATAAAAACACAACAGTTTCACTAAACTTTCTTTTGTCTTAAAATGTGTGTGCCTTTTGCTTCCTGTACTTGCATCAAAAAACCAAAAAAATGTAAACCCAAAAAAAGAATTTGGGTTTACATTTATTTCCAGCCCTCAGAGTTGTGCACACAGGGTATAAAAAGGGGGAAAATAGTTATGTCTTCACATAGACTATTTCATAAAAATGAGTAAGAAAGCATGCCATGGGGGTCAGATTTAAAACTATCATTGAATAAAATACCTTTTAATGAATCCCTTCTAAGTAGTAAAGGCTGGTTATTAACTGTCACAAAATTCATCTTCTTTTGTTTTTCTGGCCGCTATTCAGGGAGTCCATGCTAAACATACCATTGTGTGGGCATAGAGTTTCAGAGCTTTTTATCTCTATTACAAATATAAGAACATAGGAATTGTAATATTGGCAAAATGACCAGTAGTAGCCAGCCAGATGTCCTTGGTCAGAAACTAACAATAATGGCCAGTCTAAGGTTATTGTCTCCTACATCTGGTAATCAGAGGTGTCAAGCTTCTGGGAAAGTTATGCTGTCTGCTATCATAGCTAACAGGTTATCACTGCTGACAGATTATCAACTAGACATTCAAAACCATGGCCATGAACTGCAATGCAGGACTAAGAAAACCGTTAAAGTAAAGGGAAATAAGACAGGATAATATCCTTTAGTTAACTGTCACCAATAGCAGCAACCTAATATGACACAACATTAATGCTATTGTTCCAACATAATAAACACCGGATTTACCATAGAAGAAACTGATCTGGCATCCTCTTCATAATTCACAACAGGTGGGGGTTCTTTGCCATCATTTTCTTGTACTTTTTGTTGTAGAAGTTCTTTTTGAGCTGCAAATTTTACTTCAGTGCATCTCAATTGCTGAACTGTTTGTTTCAGTTCTTCCAGTGCCTGCTTCTGACTTAGCAAAAGCACAACACTAAAAAGAAAAAAAGGTCAAAATTAACATTGAAAAAAAAGAACGGTGCATTTTATTTGTCAAAACCTTTTTCAATAATACATTTTTTCTTATTTTATTAAATTTGGGGGACCATGCAGTGGAGGAAAGATTGGGACCCTCCTTTGTTCTCATGCCACCAAGAACTTCAATTCTGAATTAACCAACCTAATTGCCTTTATATATCTGAAAGATCTTGCAAGGACAAGTCCAGATCAACCTGAGAGTAGGAATGACAGGGTATGGGACCTCTATCTCCATGATACAGTGAGAAAAGGCATGACATTGCAGATTTCATTAGGTGGAAAGAACAGAAAATGGAAAAGACAAGCACTAGTAGACAGACTAGGATGTAAGTAGAAGAGTTTCTGAAAGGCCTGATTTACCCTTTGAATAAAATCCATCTGACTAACATGAAAAAAATCCGTTGAATCTGCTATGTGGCCCCTGACAGAGGCATAATCTGTTCAAATCCCAAGCATACAGATGCTCTTAGGACTTTGTCAATTTGTAAGTGGGGATGTGGGTGCTTTGTTTAATAATCAGTGAACCCTCCGTGTGGATCTCTCAATTCCAGGGTCTATATCTAGGTTTCTTCTTTCACAATAGGCACAAATAAGTAAGGTAAATGTCTTTTGGTTATTATTGAATAAATTACAACATTTCAAGATGTAAAAGAAACATGACAAGTTTAAATGCATCAGTTGGTTCTCACCTGCAGATAAGAAAACTTACTTAAATAATTTCAGATACCAGATCAAGTAATAACATACAAAAGCTTGGTAATTCTTCTACTCACTCAGATTTCCTTTCACAGATCTTAGAAGATTCCTCTATCTTCTTTTCTAATTCCAATACTAGCTCTTCCTTGTTTAGAAGTGTCTGCTGTGTCTGAATCAGCTCTTCAACTACTGTTTTCAACCTGTGGTTTTAATGGAAAGAAATTATGCATACATGGATAGCATATGTAATTTGGGCACACCTAGGATCTATTTTTCATCTCAAAACAGGCAAAAAAGGGTTAACAACACATTTATATAAAGCCATCTCAGACTATGGGTTTCAATAGCAATACAATTTATAAGGTATGCTACTTTAAAAAGTCAAGTGACTTCCAAGAACCTTTGATAGAAAAGTACTATAATTGTTAAAAGCATTACTATGCTGAGCATACTGAAAAAGAACCTGCAGTACAGAATTTTTAGGGTTATATTCCATTTCATAAAAGTGTTCATACTGTTCATATGACTGTTCATAAAGTAGTTTCCGATCATATAGATATAATAAAGAAACACTATGGACAGATTAAAAGTTTGCCTCCAAAAATTAAAGCACCCCTTTTTAATTCAGCAAAGTTTATATATTGCCAAAGACCTCCTGGCTGTGACCTAATTATATTTAATCAAATAGAGGAAAATGAATTTGTGCTAGTTGTGCAAAAAAAACAAAACATAAAACAAAAACATTTCCAGGAGTTTGTTGCTTAGAAACTGTATTTGTCCAACAGTACTAAAGGCAAAAAATGTCCTGAAACTCGGTGTTAAGAGAGAACACACTTCATATTTCAAATATTTATAGTCACCTGAAAACATTTTGAATTCTGAACTTCAGTCCAGGAATTAAGAAATGCTCAGTTTGAAACCTCACTTGGAATATTCCATAAAGACGAAAGAGCTTTACGATTCACTAGGCCAACTGACTGCACTGAAGCAAGATTTATCACATCCAAATTCAAATTAATACAAGACTACATCCTATCATGTATTATTTAAGAACCTGAATAATCTGCTGGTAAAGAACAATATCAAGTCAACCAGAACTGATTGCTTTACTGAGTTTGTTTAGCTAGTTTTTCCAACTTTTTTTTGCTTCTACCATTCATTATACAAGTTTGTCTACAATAAAAATTTATGTAACAGTACAGAGAACCTTTCCAGAGCATAAGAGATTTTGATGCTACATATCTGTCAGCCCATTCCATGTGGTTAATGTATATATATTATTCCTTACATAACAAAGGTGAAAAGAAGTCCTAATGCTAGTTTGGCAGGTGGTAGTATACTCATCTTTTTTTAAAAAATGATGTCCATAAAGATAGGTGGTAAAAAACCAGCAAAGACATTTTAGGAACTAAAGACTAGATTCAAAGATGGAAGTATGAAGCAATTCCACTTATGCACAGGAAGTTACTATTGTTTTTCCACAGACATCACACACAGTTAGAAGGTTCCTTGCCCTTCTGGTAAAACTTTTCAGAGGGCATGATCAGTTGCACCCATGTGATGAGGAACCAGCTTACAGGAATGGAAGCAGATCCTGCTGAGCACTGGGCCAATGAAAGGCACTTTCCTATAACTGCAATATATTTTCTCCCTGCCCCATCCCTCCTATGACAGATAGTGCAAGTTCCACCTCTCTCTAGCAGCGTTGAAAGCCAACTGGAGCACTCATAATGATGGTGAAAGGGAACTAAACTGAACTTGCTGTGGAGAAACTAAATTTGCCGAAATTAGAGATACAGTAAGTTTTGCGAGTGCAGCAAGCTCATGAATATAAGCCTAGTTTCAAGTAGTAATAAATAGACTCTTTTTTGTTTACGGGCAATGCTCGGTGCAAGACTTCTTAACCAGGGGAAGGATGCACATGCACTCTTAATGGCAACCTGGGTATCAGCTGGTATCTCAAGGAACAGGGAGGGGAAGCTCTGGCATTCAGAACTGAATCTCTGCTATATGTCCAGAGAAGGAGACCAGCAGTGTGCCTGGGCAAATACAGTGATTTCCAGGCAGCCTGAGTTCAGAGCGCCATAGTGACTAAGCTAGTTCTTCAGACAATAGTAGCAGAGATGGCAAAGAATGAGAAAAATTTGGGGGGAAGCATAGTTTTGCTTTTCTTTTTAAATCCCTTTCCCCTCTAAAATATTTTCCATCATTTACTGTATCCATGTACACTTAAAAACATGTGCAATCATGCTCATTTGAAGATGTACACATATTGCCATGTTTGCTATGTAAGTCTTCTAGAAGCAGGAGACAGTTATTAATGTTGAGCTGGCCTTATTGGTCATCCAGCTGTAGTCTCTTTGCCTGTCACCCTCTTTGATGGATTACATGCACAGATATCTAAACACACACACACACACACAGGCAAGAAAAGGGAAGGAAGACCCAAATTCTTGCAAACCTAAATAACAGAAGCAAAATGTATTTCACATATCATACATACATGTAAATTAATTTTACTTGTTTACTTTAGGCATCTTACTCACAAGAAAGATCCATATAATGTGAGAGTGGAAAGAAAAGAAAAAGGAGATTCAATTACTTACATAGCTTGCAAACTTTCAGCTGTCAAATTGTTCCACATAATCTCATTTGCTTGAAGATTTTCATTTTCTTCCAATAAAGTAGTATCAAACTCTATTTCTTGCTGTTCAACATCCTGTGTCCTTTGAAGATGCAAAAGTACTGATTGGTTTTAAATAACACTAAAAGACATTTTATACAAGGTATACCTTCTCTCTAAGCAACCTGACTACATTTAATAAAAATAATTTGCTTATTAACAAAATAGTCATCCTCAGGTGTTGCTCTGACCCTGGAAAAAGGAAGCCATTATAAAGAATTGTCTCTCATGGAAATGAACTTTGATCAATTCATATTTTGCATTAGTAGAACATGACTTAAACAAGCAGGCATACTAGACTGGCCAGCTGCAGGCTAAGAAGGACTTGCAATAACATAAGATTCACTGAATGTGCTTTGTCATGACTAACACTTTTCTTACAGAATCCCACTATACTATCGCCAAACTAAAAGCTTTCAATCCTGCTACTGTCTGCTACATACCCCATTCTATTTTCTGCACTTAGATTGTCACCATTGTTTTCATTTCTATACCACACAATAGTCAAAGCTTTCCGGACGTTTACAACAGTCTACCTTGCACTAGCCCTTTAACCCTATCATTCTCGCTCCCTTGTTCTTCACTAGCATTTTATACCAACATTCTAAATGAACGTATTCGGCAAGCAATTACAGTTCTCAAGAAGAAATCAAAGCAAGGTGCTTTTCATCTTAGTTTGTTGGAGTAGGCCCCAGTCTGAGTTTCTCACGGATCAAGAAACCAGTTGCTAAAGAGCACCACTACTCCAAAAATTTCTTTGCATTACTTTCATCTATTCCCCATGGTGTAAAACAGCTCTTCATCACAGCTGGACCATTTAAGCATTTCATTACCCTTGCTGCTGTATAGATAGCCAGTCATACAAGCATAGCCATCACCAAATTATCCGCCACAGTGTTAAGGAGGGGCTTATTCTGCACAGTTCGTTCTTTTTTTAAAAAATGAAACACCACCACTAGCATTATTGATGCTTTACCTGTGAGCTTCTATGAAGCTACTGTACTCTGCACCAGGGTCTAACTGCTCAACAGATGTTTGGATCTCTTTATGAACATTGACTATTTCTTCAGTCACAAGACTGGTGATCTGACTGTATTCTTCCAGGATTCCTTTTCTGAAGAAAACAGTATTTTTTGTAAATAAATCTGGGTAATCTTTTAATACTTTAAAACTAAAAACATAAAAATACATTGTTTCTTGATTTTCTAACACTTCAGTCATTCACGAGATGAATCAGTCTTTGAATCCTAACATTATAGGTGATTTCCAAATGTTCTATAAGAGTAGCTCTATGAAAAGAAATAAATATTGTACATAGGCAGAACACATGTGAAAAAGAGCAGGTGGGAATAGAACAGAACAGAATTATTACAATTACATTTACAATTACAGTTGAAAGGATCCTATAAGGCCATTGAGTCCAACCCCTAATCTTCTTCCACATGCGGTCACCCATTTGGTGGCAGGCCTGTGCCTTTCCAGCTTAGAAAAGATGACTTAACATGCTAGCTCAATCATAGCTATGTGGGCAGGTAGCATGATCTGGTGGTTGGCTATCTAGTGAAATATGTTCCCCTTGTCCTCATTTCTGTGAAGATTCACAATGTGGTCAGAATAGCAAAGTTTCACTGTGTTTTCCTCTCCTATTCTTAAAATGGGCTGTCGGCTTTTTTCTTCCTGTTCCTGCCATTTTATCTTGTTCTGCCCAGCTCTGAAATGTTCAAGAAAGGATTTTTGTTTTTTACCAGAAGCTTTAAACATCTTATAACCATTCTTAAATGGGAAGAGAGCCAGTGTGGCACATTGGATAGAATGCTGATCTAGGACTCAGGAGACCTAAGTTCAAATCCTCACTCAGCCATGAATCTTGCTGGGTGACTTTGGGTCAGTCACTGACTGACAGCTTACTGCATTGGGTGGCTGTTTATTTATTTATTTAAAACATTTTTATGCCGCCCCCATCGCAACAAAGCCTCGGGGCGGCTTACAACAGGAATAAAATTATACAATAAAAATATTAAAGCCCGGTGCATCTCGGCTTAAAAATTTTTAAAATCCTACAAATAACCAATAAATTAACACTTAAAATGAGTTTTAAATAAAAAGGTCTTAGCCTGGCGCCGAAAAACAAATAACGACGGCGCCAGGCGGACCTCTCTGGGGAGCGCATTCCATAGGTGGGGTGCCACTGCAGAGAAGGCTGTTGAGAGGGGGAGCATTACATATGCCACCTGGGGCTCCTTGAAAGCAAAAGGAGGACATAAATGCAGCAAATTATGTAGCATACATTCATGCAACATTTGATTTTTTTGGTAAATAAATTCCATCAATCATTTCACAATGTCATGTTCTTCCAGAGGTTTCTGAAAAGTTATTGGGCAGCTTTTCTGTCTAGAACAGGGGTGTCCAACCTTTTGGCTTCTCTGGGCCACAATGGAAGAAGAATTTTCATCTTGGCCCATACATTAAATACACAAACACTAGTGAAAACTAATGAGCAAAAAAAAAAGGTCTGTGCATAATATTTATGATATCTGTCACCACAGATGAGCAAAAAAGTCCCCACATAATAATCCTAATTGGAGAGCCTTTTAAAATCATCGAGCAGGTTCCAATCCCTAATATGGAAAATCAACATGTCTAAATAATAAAACTTGATTGATTTTTTATATTCTTATTATAAAAGAAAAGAGGGAAATATAAAACTAGTGGGATATTTGACACTTTATTTGAAAAACTAATGCATCTATATCTGGTTCAATAGAAGTAGCTGAAACTCTCAGTGAGTTCTCAAGATGTTCATCGGATATTTTGGTTCTAATCTTACTCTTAGCATGCTTCATTCTTGAAATTGTTGCTCACGAATGGAAGCCACACATGAGTACAAATAGAGAAAGCATACACACGTTTATTTTACATGACACAGCAACATGGCATTGTTGTCTGCAAAGTTCACACTTGAGAACCACACAATCGAGTTACAAAGACAATCTCAAAAATATCTCATAATGTTTTAAGTAAGTTTACAATTTTGTGTTGGGAGCATTCATAGCCATTCTGGGCTTCATGTGAACTGCAGGTCACAGGATGGACACCCCTGGTCAAGAGGATATGATCTCAGGTGCTTGGTTTTACAGTTTCCAAAATGATGACTCTGTGTCTTCAAAGATCACATGCCTCTTATTCATAACAAACATGATACAAAATAAACATACGGAGTAGAGAAAAAGACCTTAATCAAATTGCTCCTTTGAAACTCTATGTGCACAAAATTCATCCCTCACATCTCACTCTTTTGGCCGCTCCTCTACGTATTCCAAGCTTCCAGTCATCCACAGGGACTATGGCTTTATTCAACCCAACCAAAACCTGGAATTTCACCCTAATATTAAATTGGGGAGTATTCATGGCTCAAACTGATTTCCTAAAGGCTAGATTTTGGAGTATTCTTCTGCACAGCTCACACATTCGGCGCCGCTGGAGCACATTACAAGCATTCAAGCATGAAAAGAGAAAACTATTGCAAACTCTAGCATGGAATTCCACCTGAACCCCAATATGAGACTGTGGCATGCATGGCTCAAATGGGTTTCTAAAAGGTCAGCTTTCTGCACATTTTTCTGCACAACTCACCATTTTAGCTTGCCCTGAACATGATACGCGCCATCAATCATTCATATGTGCCATAGTTTTCCAAACCCTAACCCAACATAGAATTTCACCCTAAGTTAAAATGGGGCAGATGTATGCATGGCTCAAACTGATTTTCAAAAGGCCAGCTTTCTACATAATCTTTTGCACAGCCGACATTTTTGGCACAGCCTAAGCACATTCCAAACTTTCAAGCATGTACAGGGAACAGGACTTTGCAACTCATAGACTGAACCCTAACCTGGATTTTCCCCCTAACCTTAAAATGGGGTGAAGGTGTGCAAGGGTCGAATTGATTTCCAAAAGGCCAGCTTTTCTAAAGGTTTTCCGAAAAGCTCATGCTTTTGGTGGCATCTCAGCATGTTCAAAGCCTTGAAGCATGCATAGGGAACATCATTTTGCTAACCCTAACCCTAACCTGGAATGTCACCCTAACCCTAAAATGGGCCGGAACTATGCATCACTAAAATGGTTTCCAAATGGACAGCTTGTTGGAAGGTTCTTTGGATCAATTAAGCTTTTGGCATCATCTGAGCACGTTCCAAGCCTTCAACCATGCACAGGGAACATGATTTTCCAAACCCTAACCTGGAATTTCACCCTAGCCCTAAAATGGGACAGAAGGATGCATGACTCATCCTGTTTTGCCAACGGCCAGCTTGTTGAAAGGTTCTCTAAATCGCTGACGCTTCTCAGGTCATCTAAGCACATTCCAAGCCTTGATGTATGTGCAGGGAACATGATTTTGCCTACCCTAACCCTAACATTGAATTTCACCCTAACCCTGAAATTGGACTGTGGCATGCATGGCTCAAATGGGTTCCCAAAAAGTCAATTTTTTCTGCTCAACTCACTGTTTTAGCGCACCCTGAATGTGACACAAGGCTAAAATCACTCCTCTTTTGAAAAGGGCCAGCTTTTTTACAGGTTCTCTGAATCCATGACGCTTGTCGGGCCATCTAAGAACATTCTGAGCCTTCAAGTACGCACAGGAAACATGATTTTTCCTACCCTTACCTAACCTGGATTTACAGAAAGCCAGCTTTCTGCTAATTTTTCTGCATAGCTTACCCTTTTTGCACCTCCCAGACACATTCCAAACCTTCAGTTATTCACATGGTCCATTCTTTTTCCAACTGTAAGCCTACCCAGCAATTTCCCCCGAACCCAAATATGGGATGGAGTCATGCATGGCCCAAACAGATTTCCAGGACAGTTTTCTGCTAACTTTTCTGCACAACTCACTTTTTTTGCCCCTCCTCTGTGTTCCAAACCTTAAATCTTTCCTAAGCACGATGGTTTTTTCCAACCCTAACCCTAACCCCAAACTGGATTTTCACCCGAACCCTAATATGGGACCGTGCCATGCATGGCTCCAACTGATTTCCAAAACGTCAGCTTTCTGCAAATTTTTATGCACAGATCATTCTCTTGGCACACTGTGAGCCCATTCCAAGCCTTCAGTCATTGACAGCGACCATGGTTTTTCTAACCATACCCCTGACCTGCAATTTGTTCCTAACCCTAATATGGGACTGTGCCACACATGGCTCAAACAGATTGCCAAAAGCTTTCTGCAAGTTTTTCTGCAGAGCTCATCCATTTTGCCCCTCCTCTACATGTTCCATGCCTTACATCATTCAGAGGTGCCATGCTTTTTTTTACCTCTAACCCATCCTGGAATTTTACCCTAACCCTAAAATGGGGAGGAAGTATGCATGGCTCACATGGATTTCCACAAGTCCAGCTTTCCACAATTCTTTGCTGCACAGCTTACCCTTTCGGCTCCTTTTGAGCACTTTCCAAGCCTTAAATCATTCATAGGCACCATGGTTTTTCTAATCCTAACCCAGAATTGTATCCTAACAATAATATCAGAAGGAAACAGTAATGGCTCACACAGCTTTCCAAAAGGGTAGCTTTCTCCAAGTTTCTCTGTACAGCTCAGTAAACTAACAAAACATATGCTGGCCCCAGCCCATGAAAGAGACCCATTTTGGCGATATTTTAATTTAGTTTCTCTACCTGTCATTGAGGTAGTCAGTCATGTCTGCATATTATGTAGATAACCATGATTTAAGTCATTGGTCAGTAAAGCTAGATTTAAAGCATGAGTTAAATTGATTTGATACCACTTTAATCCATCCCATTGTAACAGCATTACTTTATCTTAATTTTCATAAATAGAAGTGAATCATGTGATTTTCTGTACTTCAGCCATTTCACAATGATAGCTGTCTTTGGATTTTTTTTCATGACGGTTACTTTTGGGTACCTGAAGACTTCCCAATTAGTTTCTCACCATTGCTATTCCTAATGTGAGACTGATCAGTTCATATGTAACAACCACCCATCAATTTTTTAAACCATTTGTGGCTCCAAGCAAGGGAATAAGTTATTCCTTTGTATTCACCACTTCCATTTTAAAGCCGCTGTAACCAAAGAACATTCCTATGTTATTGAATGCGACTTCCAAATACAGCATTCTGAAGAGATTAATTTTCCACAACCCCAAGTTTAACCCAACAGCTACCCATGGTTTGTTGTTGGGTTAAACTCTGGGACAACCCAAGGTTCCAGTCATTTCAAACAACTCAGGGTTGTTTCTGGGTCACTGATTAAAGCTATTTGAAAGCAGAAGCAACAAAAGCATGTGGGCTACACATACTCATTACCCTGCTTACAATCCCATCAATTCATAGGTTAAACAACCCTCAAACTGGAATTACAGGTAGACAAGGTTACAGTATGCATTTACTCTTTTCTGTAGAGACTGGTCTGCTTAAACAATGCAAAATGAAGTAATGCACTGCTTGCAAGTTATGGCATATAACACATCAGTGTGCATTTTGATTCACTCTTAAAACTCAGTTTACATCTCTCACTGTCTCTTCAACCCCAGCATGTGTATATAAACCTACCACTTGCAGGTTAACACTTCATGCATCTAATGAAGTGGAATGCCCATGAAAGTTTATGACAGAATAAATGTGTTAGTCTTTAACAGGTCACAAGACTTTGTTATTTTTAGAGAAGTGAAACTACAATACAAATTCTTCTTATCTCCCGCCCTCTGACTGCTGTTTCTGTTGTACTGGAGAGGAAAATGGATGAACAACCCTTAACTCATACATCCTGTTTGTAGTCATTTATCCTGTACAATTTATTCTACTTATCAGAACCAGACTTTAAGAAACTGCTGTAGGTTCAAGCTAAGCAAAATAGCTTAATAAAACTGTACACTGAAGAAATGAATTTAATCTGCAAGTTCAAATCTATTCACTGTTGCATGAACCTTTTTAAAGCATTTTTTTGAAAATGGATAAATGTTAACATAAAATTTTGGTCTACTAGATGCAAAAAATTTAATGCCATAAAATCAAGCAGGCCCCAAATCATACTCATTTTTATGTCCCAAAAACTTGGTGTTAGGCTCTGGAAAATCAAAGATATTTCTAACAGATCAGAGGAAAAAATAAGAAAAACCGTAACACAGTTCACGTGTGATATTAGTTCTTTGATTAAGGAAACCTCATTTTGCTAGGCATAAACAAATCATTAGCAAATTTTAGGTTAATTCTGGACTATTTAGCCCCTAATTAATCTAGAGGTCATAGCCTACAATTGGGACAATTATTGCTAATTGAAAGCAGGAACGTCCCAGAGGCAGCATGTTTGCTCATACCAGATCGTACATTAATTTAGCCGCAATGAACTACTACATGTGAACCCAGCCAGGGTCTGTTCTATTAGCTCATTCTGAGCAAGGTAACGAATTGCTCACTAGAGAATACAAAGCACTGAGCAGGTATGCACACAAAGCATACTGCTGAAAAGAGAAATGAGAATAAGACACTAAATAAAGAGGATGAGGTTGCTTTAGGAATGGCAAATACAGATTCAAATTTAATAATTTACTCCAAAGATTAAAATATATTTCTGTGTCTGTCTGGAAAGGCCTATTAATGTTTCTACAATCATTTGAAGAAAAAGTATCATGCTTTTCAAATGTCTATTGAAGCAGCTATTCTAACAAAAAGCCAAGATGCAGCTTGTACGATACCTTAAAAGACATTTTATAAGATTATGCAGTCAAAAGACAGTCTCACACACACACATGCACTTGCACACAAAGAGACTATTCGACTATTTCATGTTATCCAAAAATCCAAAAATGAAGAAAAAGGCAAAATATTTTAAAGATTTCTAATATATACCAAGGTATATACTAGATAATATATTAGATATATATATAAGACAAAAATATATATATTCTACAATTTACATTAAAATAATTTAGGGTTTCCCCTAGCAATAAACCGTTAAGAAAGGTCATTACATAAGAGCAAGAAATAGCAGAAACCAATGAATTAATTAAAAGCTCCAAAATATTCAGCTGTCTTCATTCAGTATCAGAGGAACTGCACAGGTGTGCAATGTTCTTTCCCTGGAAAGAGCATTCTCAAACAATGTGACATTGCTGGCTGCCACCCACCTTATTGCTGAAGGCAGCAAAGAAGGGGGCTCTGATGCAACTTCATATGGGAAAGTGGTCACTCAGATACACTGGTCCCAGACAATACCATTCTATAAAGCAATCGCATATCATATACTTTTCTAGAACAAAACGGTGTGCCTTACAGTGCTTTAATCATTTCTTCTTGCATCTTCTGTAAGGAGTCAAGGAAGAGAGGAAGTGTAGCATCATAATACTGGTGCTGATGTAACTGCGCTCCTTTCAATGCCAACACGTACTGATTGTGCAATATATGGAGTTTCATAGTAGCTTTATCACAACGGTCTTTGGCTTTTTCAGTCTCCTTTCCTAGAGGAAAAACAATACGGGCAGTAGGGAGATGGAGCCATAATTATCCAGGGTAGCAATCAAAAGCACCAAGCAAGCAAAATCAACCATTTTCACTCCCACTAATTTCAGTGAAATAGGCAAGTATACGCCTGAACTCCATCTCGCTGAAAAGCAATAGACCTTTAAAATATTTGCCACTGAAGGATTGTACACGTATTGTGTGAAAGATTTCACCTCTAGCAAAATATGTATACTTGCTAGTTTCCAAAAAAAAAGAGTTTAAACACATTCAAGAAAACCTCAACTCAAAAGCAGCTTGCAGTGTGATATGGGGTTCTCTAGTTTCTATGTATCTATAGGCATGTTATGAGCAGAGCCGGCTGGAGCCGGGGTCAGTCTAGATGACCCAAGAGACCCCTTCTTACTCACTCAGTTTCTATGTTTCTCCTTCCAGCTGGAAGACTCCTAGAGCTACCAGTTAGGAAGCACTGTGTCATTCTTCAGTCTCTTTCTCTTTTTCTGTGGTAATGAAACAGGTCTACATACTAGGAAAGCACAAAAGGGTTAGAAGTGACACCACCTTGCCCACCACCCCACCCCCTGGAAAATTCTGCAAAAGACGCAAGGCGATAATGGCATGGTAAAATCCTAGTCTAGAAGCTTTACATGGCTCTTGGAATCCCAGGCATCCATTAAATTTGTTCAAATATCTTCAACCAAATGCAAGTTGTTAACATTAGGCCTGCCTCAAGTTCTTAAGTCAATTTACACAGTTCTTAACTTCAGTTTATTTACTTATGTCCTGTCTTTCCAGGGTCTCGTGAGTTTCAACTAGTCGTCGTAACAATTTCAACTAATTGCTCTCATTTCTATTTTCAAAAGGAGACTGGCCTCTGTTTTTTGCCCCAGAAAGCCTTCATTTAATATAGATTCTGTTGCATAATATATCCTGATTAGTTTACAAAATGTTTTCTGAATCATAATTTCAAAAAATCTACCACACTGCAAATGGACTTCCATCATGTATCTGCAAGATCCTATTCTTTCTCCTTTTACTTTTTTTCTCTCTTAAGGTCAAGTGGTTTCAGTTGGCCCTAATAAAAGTTATCTTACTGTTTCTGTTTTTAGGGGTTTCCCTGCTTATGTTGTCCAGCTACATTTTGTCTTTTCTTCTATAATTCTAGTTAATAAGAATTGTGTATACACAAAGAGTTAAGTATGACATTTTTATTCTTCTTGTGCTAGGAAATGACTAATGTGCAGCTACTTCAGCACTCCTTAATTCTGTATACATTCAAAAATCTCAGAGCACAATTACTTTGGGACATCATTCATATACATAACTTTCTGGCACAGTTCACGCTAGTACAAATCCTGGTTCCCTCCCCTGTGCGAAACACCAATTGCAAATGCTCAATGTAAATGTGCACAGGATTGCAAGCTAAATAAAAGTATTGCACTAATACAAGAAAAGCGCATACACTAAAATGCTTCTAGGTGTTTCTGAGATATGAGAAGGCATAGGTTTTATGAAGAGTTTTAATGAAAAAAATCTCATCACAGAGCATGCCTTTAGGACTAAAAGTCTAAAGCAATATTGTTCAAAGTTTTAGAACTCGGGCATCCCTTCTAAATGTACAGCATATTCCTAGTCCCCCAAGACACTGGAAGGTATTTCCATAACAAGTGAACAATCAGATACCCCACTGATGAATATGTGGCATACGACTGTGGGATTAGGGATTTGCAGATGTGGTAGTAATCCAGTGACAGCATTAGGAGAGAACTAGAAGGGGTGCTTCGCCATTTCTTCAAATTTATGAACCTGAGCATGGAAAAGTTGCTGTGGTTAAAAGTCCCACATATTCCCTACAATTATGGTTTGAACAGTTAGCATAGCTGCCTGCATGGCTCTGCAATGCTACGTTTTTGCTGCAAGAGTAAACAAACTCCAGCTCAATGTGGCACATGATCTGTTCCCTCCTGGGAAGTTTACAATCCTATCTTCACACTTGTTTTGGAAAGAATTACTTGACAGTTGGAGAACCATAGCACCCTGAGAGCAGGTGCCCCTCAATATTGTCCAAGCAATTCCCTCACTCATACAACTGCAGTTCTGTGCAGGTGCAAACATGCAACTAAAAAAAATTAAAGCTAAATGAATATTTTGTGCATATTAGATGCCCAAAAAATGTCTGCATTCTGCTTGGAGCTGCTTGAGCAACTTGCTCTCAGAACAGGTACTGTCAGGAGCCAGGTTTCCCCCTTAACACACTCAAAGCAACAGACCATTCCTTTCCTTCATTCTTCAAAGTACATCCAGTAAGCACAATCACCACATAATGAGACTGAGCATGCAGAGAACAAGTCACTGAACCCAATCTAGCAACTACATCTGAGAACCTTCTTTTTGAATACCCCTGCACCCCCCTCCCTCTGGGAGAGCCCTTTTGGGGGAAGGCAAGCCTTCACTGTTTGCTGTCCCTCTAGCAGACTAGCCCTTCTCTACCAATGCCACTTCATGGGATCAATAAACATACCAGGCTTGGCTGGCTCCTGGAGTTCCTGCCCCACCACGCCACCCACCCGCTTCCAGCAGGTGTGGATCCCAGCTATTTTCAGACTCCGCCTGAACACCTGGAGAGGGCAGCCTTGAGATAAGCCCCTTTTGCTTTTCCCATCGCAATGTCTGAGCATGCCAGTCCCCAGGACCCCCATTTCCTCTAAATCTGCCTGACCTTAGAACACATGCCAAGAACAGCTGCCCCTTTCATTCCCACCAGGTACTACAAAAGCTAGCTGTCAAGCTGGGCTTCATGATCTTTGAGGGAAAACAGAAGGACAAAAAGCCACAAAAAGCTGACAATGGCTCAAGATCACACTGAGGAAAGCAAGCTAGAGGCAGTTGCCTCTAAGCATCATGTGAGCACTTGTAGCCCAGCTGACACTGATGGGTGCGCCTGGGCAAACTGGCAAGGCATTTTTGCCACTCTAGCCCAGTAGCTTGCTAACTGATTCTGGGTATTCATGAGGGACAGGTCAGCCTGGCTTCAGACAACACAGCTTCAGCTATTAACCACCCATTGGTTGTCAGCAGGGCTTGTTGTCTGCAAACAACCCAGCCTGCAAGAATCCATATAGGTTCATATGACACATCAATCCCTCACAGGAAGCATTGTACAATGGACTGTCACGTTGTGCAAGCCTCAACACTTTTCAGGCAATTGATGAAGTAGTTTTCTCAAGTACAACATTCTTAAATGTTTCTTCAAAGCAAACAGCATTAATATTTTTGCTTACTTGTTTTTAATTAACCAACAGCATTATAACAAATATTTCAGCTAGGTAACCATTTCCAGAATTAGATCTATAAATTCCTTGGAAGAGGCTATTTGTGCAATGTTTATATTTCACATCCAGTTTTACAGAAGTATATATTACACTAAGGGAGAAGAATAAACTACTTAATATTCCTTTGAAGTACTTCTTTTAAAGTAGAGTTGCATTTCCAATATCTGAATATAGTTTGAAGTAAGATTTCATTTGAATTGAAGAGGGAAAAGCTATGCCTGCAATAAATTATGGCTAACTTGCAAATTACTCTTGACTGTACCACCTTAAAAACCCTAATGATTAGACATTAAAATTAATCTTTTACTTGAAAGCATCTTACTTTCCATGGATACTTGAGAATTCAGCATTTTTAAATTACATGAACACTTTGGCCTCAGTAAAAACATGGATGAAAAACAAATATTTATGTCAATAAATTGAATTATGTTTCATATTGGTTATGGTTTAAGTTCTAGACATGTTTATCTTATAGGCATATTGCTATTCAAAACTACCTATTTAATCTACCTATTACAGTATATATGAAAGTTAATCAGTTCCTCCGACATAGCTTAGTGATTTCCTTTGAACCATCTTCTAAACCAGAGGTCCTCAAACTTTTTGAATAGGGGGCCAGTTGAAAGGTCCCAGCGATGGGCACGGGCCGCCAAGGTGGTGCAGGTGGCGGGGTGCGGGCCAGGGCGGGGGGGGGGTGCATGCATGCGCACGCAGAAAGGCAGGGGCATCCCTGCGCAGAGATCATTTTCTCCCAATGAGTCCAAAACGATCTCCCTATGAGCAAGCCGGTGCCTCGAGGCCAGCTTGCTCACAAGGAGATCATTTTGGACTCACTCAGAGAAAAGGATCTCCCATCAAGGTGCCAGCTTGCTCGCAAGGAGATCCTTTGAAGAGAAATCAAATCCCTGTCATAACATAATACTGTGTTTGTTCTCTGCTGCTCAGAACAGAACAAGTCGTTTTAACACCTAGGGTACTTTAGGCTTGTTCTTCCTTAAAGAGCAGGACCTGTGTTATATCAAAACTCTTTTTAAAATGTCAAGCACAGCTTGTGACACAGAATAAAGGGAAGATGACAACACAACATGTTAAAAGGGGCTAGTTGTTGCATAAATGTGGGCAGGGCTTTCAGTCTGGTTTGCATATAATAGCAATTTGAGGGCCACAACAACTCATGAATTGGTGTGTCATACAGTAGCAAGTGAGCTCTCTCTCACAGGCTTATTGCTTTTAATAAACACCCATTCCTATGTGTCCTAGAGAAGAAAGACTGAATGCAGCATATTAAGAGACTGAAAAGCAGAGCTGGAAGTAATCTCAGGAAAAGACTGAAGAGAGCCTACTCAAGGAGAATTGGAGGAAAAGGCTGCACAGGGCAAGACAAGCTGTCTAGTGTTGGTGGTGGAATGGCATAAGGCTTAATTCCACACTGATGTAAAAAAGGGGGAGCTGGTGAAGGTTTTTGTTAATTGGCTCACAACTTCCGCCAAGGTTTTATTATGCACAGTACTTTAAATATATCGTGAAAGGGTCAAAGCAGTGCTACTATTTAGTATTATGAACCTACCTTTAGACAGAGCTTCCTTGTACTTCTCTTTGGCAGCATTTACTTCCTTAATTAATTGTCTATAACTAGATTTTAATTTTTCCAAATCTGTTTTTGTAACCTATCAAGAAAAAACAAAAATATATCAAGGCACTTTGCGTACAAACAGCCACATCACTAGAAATACAGGGACTATTCACATAATCAGGCTGAACAATGCAATATCAATATACAAATATTACATTCACTTTGTACAAGGCCTATGTTTAACTTATATATCATCCAATAGCTGAAGTTTTCTCAGCAGCCTCCACAGTATAGCACTTGAATCAATATTATGATTAATATCTTTGAGGCAAAAAGACTGTAAGAATGCTTTAACAATAGCTAGTTCAAATCAGTAAATCTGAGTAAAACAGGTCGGTATATAAAGACAATCATTAGATCCAGGGTTCCTCTCATTCATAGAACAAAATGAGATCCACTGGAAATTTCCCACTGAAAGAGAAGAGGAAGACAATTTTCATCAATTGCCCTTTACACCATTTCAATCCCCTGCATGGCCTCCCATTGTTTCTGTAGGGTTTCTATTTTGGAGTTGCAGGGACAAGTAGATATCAGATATCCCCTACTACCTTTCTCTGGCAGTACCACCTCTTTTAAGTCGGAATCCAAACCAATTACATTCTTTCACAAAACTAGAGCGACATACTAAGAAGATCTGCAAAGTTCAGCATTCAATTCATAAGGGATGCAAAGAAACATTTGAACTGCACCTTCACTGACGACCTCCCAGAAAAAAATGAGTTCACCCATTTTTCAAAGACTTGTTTCTGAAAATGGATTTTGAGTTGTGTCCCCATTTATTAAGGCAAATCATCTTGAAACACTGAACTGTTTCACCATGTAGACTGCTAGAGGTACATATTAGTTGCACATAATACTCTCTTCTGAGTAGTAACCATCAACACCATTTGTAGGTTAATGTAGGAAAGGCAATAATACTGTGTTTCCCTGAAAATAAGACACTGTCTTTTATTTTTTTGGCTCAAAAAAGCACACTAGGTCTTATTTTCAGGGTAGGTCTTATTTTTTATTTTATTTTTAATGTGTACAACAATCCACACTTATTCATGTACAACAGCATGAATACATGTACATTTGGTACATTTGGTATCACTCCACCTGTGACAGGAGCCGGCGCTATAGAGGAAGCATCGGCTTGTATGACACTGTGCGGAGGGAGCAGAGCCGCATAAGCATGTTTCCTCCACACGGTGCATTAAGATAAAGTTAAGTTCAAACATAAAGTTTAAAAAGGATCTTTATGTTCCCCACTGGCCCTGGGAATAAACACAGCTAGGTCTTATTTTTGGGGTAGGTCTTATATTTTAGCAAGTGCCAAAAATAGTAGTAGGTCTTATTTTCGGGGAAACACGGTACTTCCCTATAGAAAGTGTTCAACCACTTACGTTCATATACACATATGCAAGTTTACTTAAAGAATAGCCATCAAGAACAATTCAAAGAGTTGAAGCTCAAAAATATCCTCTCAGTTTAATTTTTGCTAACTCATTATTTTTAAGTGATTGAATGAGATACCTTGAACATCTCTGCCTCAATTTGCTGGTGAACACCAAGATAACTCTTCTTGATTTGCTGCTTGTCTTTGATCATCATGGTTAGCCTATGCAACGGCCCAGCATTTAAATCTTCTGCATGTGTCTTCATGATCCTGCTGAGCTGTTCTGTTTGCTGCACAATGAGCAGCCATGACTTGGAGAAGAGAGATGAGTTTATTTGTAACTTAATGATAATCAAAAGAACGGTGCATAAACTTCTCTCTCTCTCTCATTCTCTCTCTCTGAAATTAGCAATCTATGAAAATAGATCACTATGCAGTGCAATTAAAACATCCAACTGTATTTGTGTTCTCAGGTACAGACAAGTGATCTGACAATTACAACATGTACACACATTTGTGTCAATCTGAAATGCATTTGTTCAAGCACATTTGTATCTGTTCCATAAAAGCAATTAATAAAAGAAAGCCATACTACTATAATGTACAGTTAATAAAAAAATTAGAAGCAAATATTACTTTAGATTTTTGGAAAAGATATGAAGAAAAGTCCACTACACATTCTATCTATGGACTAAGAATATTATAAAGGAAAATGGGAAGAGCTTGGTCTAATACGTGTTTTGGACAGAAAAGAGCATTTTCTTCTTCAAAAGATTCTTTGGTTTATAAAATAGTATTAATTGAACAGAGCCACAATAGACAAAGAGATCACAAAAGTAACAATAAATAAAAGCTACAGTGAAGACAATTGATGTTTCAAATTGCAGAATGTAAAGAAGATGAAACAATGCAACTATCCTTCTTACAACAAAAAGCAACAGGTGCTGAACTCCAGGGATTGCTAGTGTTTGCTTACTTACAGATTGCTAAAAAGTCCAAATAAAGTTATTTACACTACTTATTCCAATGTATAGTTTGCTACATTCTGTTTACTACATTCACTAATGCCAGCAGAAGGTAACTGCACATTAAATAAGTAGATGTCAAGACACAGACCTACTGGATTACCAGTTCAAAGCACACATGATCTAACCATTACTAGAACAGTTGAAGAAATATCAACAAAAGCATGACTGGAACATGTTCCCTGTAGGTCTTTAGCAGAGGTAAAAGTATATTCCTCTACACTCTTGAGGAGTGGTAGACCAAGTAGAGGAAGGAGAATGCCATAGGGCAGTGGTGGTGAACCTATGGCACGTGTGCCACAGTGGGCATGCAGAGCCCTCTCTGTTGGCACATGAGCCAAGTCACCCCAGCATTGCCCTAGCAGCCAAGCATAGGATAACAGCGCACACAGGGGCCATGCACAGACTCAGAAAGGAGTAGTGGCGCCAGGGGATGACGTTACAAGCTGCGACTGATCAGCCGCAACTCGTCCGAGCTTTCGCATAGCTGGTCAGTGTGCTGCCAAACATATATATATTAGCTTGGACTGGCTGTGAGGCGTTTTTTCTAAAATAAAACCTTACTTTTCAGGTTTTGTGTTTAGAATGAGCAGAAATGATGAGCTGTGCAGAAAACACTACACAGGGTAGGCTTTTTCAAAATCGCCCTCTTTTCACTGGAACTTTAGCCATGTATTAGGGTTAGGGGCGTCCGCCAGGGTAGGGTTAGGATTAAACAAAAACAAGGTGCCCTGGTATGATTTTGATGGTTGGAATGTGTTTAGAATGGGCGGAAAGAATGAGCAGTGCAGAAAAAGCTACTCAAGGCTTTTTCTAAATCTCCCCTTTCAATAGTATTTTACCCCTGTATTAGGACGAGGGGAGCGTACCAGGGTAGGGTAGGGTTGGGGCAGTGGTGGTGAACCTATGGCACGTTGCCAAACAGGCACGCAGTGCCCTCTCTTTCAGCACGCGAGCCAGGTCGCCCCAGCATCCCCCCAGCAGCCAAGCATCGGGTGACAGCACACATAGGGGCCATGTGCATGCTCGGAAAGGAGTAGCGGTGCCAGGCAAGGACGTCACGAGCCATGGCTCATTAGCCTCAATTCATCCAGGCTTTCACATGGCCAGTCTGTCCACTGCCAATGATATTTGTTTTGAGTGGCTGTGAGTTGTTTTTTCTAAACTAAAACTGCAGTTTTCAGATTTCATTGTAGTGTTGGCACTTTGCGATAAATAAGTGGATTTTGGGTTGCAGTTTGGGCACTTGGTCTCTAAAAGGTTCGCCATCACTGCCATAGGGCATAATGGACGTGGAAGGAATGTCGTGAGCAGAGCCAGCTAGAGCCAGGGGTCAGACTAGATGGTCCGGGAGTCCCCTTCTGACTCACTCTGTTTGTATGTTTCAATGTTTCTATAATGGAGGGGAAAGATCTCAGTACTCCAAATGTAGTGCAACCTTGGCTATAATGTATAGCAAAGTTATGCAATTCTGTAAACGCAGAGTTGCCAGGGCAGGTGGCACTTCCACCATGCATATGCTTACAGACACAATTGCAAGCATGCATTTCAGTGCACAGATGGCAGGGGCAGACCTATTACCTGTTACGGACCAGACATTCAGTGAACAGATGGGGAGGAGCCTTAGCTTGCAAAAAGAATTCTGTGAAATAACAAATGTAAACATGTATGCATCAGTTCAGATAGCTCATAAAATGATGTGCTGATACATTGGATGGTGCCTTACATAACTGTTTGACCTTCGAAGTTTACTGACATCCACTCAAGTGTCAGAGGAGCATGGAGGTAAGGATTGCCTCCACACTTCTCCTGCCCTACAAAAGACATTGATGACCAATTTGAGCCATCTGTGTATTTTGCCTCCACTTATTAGGAGGGGTTGAAGCATTGCCAGAATTGTATATATCCCATTGCAGCCTCACTCCTCTCCTTCACACACTCTAGCATTAAAGTCATACATGCCACTTCAAAGCCACAGCTAGTATAGAAAGAACCTGCTTGTGAGAGCTCAAGAAGGGCACTCTGCAGTCCAAGTCCTAGCTTCTACCTTGGAACACATTTTCAAGGTTGGAGCAGAGATTCCAGCCTATACAATGGCCATCTGCACAGCATCTAGCAGCCACCCAATTGTGCTCTTAAAAGGAGGAAAACCTATAACTGACTAAAGAAGCAACCTAAAGCAATAGTTATAAGAACATTCACTTGAGCTCAGAGACTGTCAGATGCCCTCAAACTCATTGTAATATTAACCTAAGATGCACTGCATCACCTAAGTAATAATCAGTTGAAAACAAACAGGAATGTAAGTACCAGACAAACTATAAGAAGGAATGCATAGACAGAGCGACTCATCTGACATCCACAAATAGGTCAGCCAGACACAACATCAGAGTAATTCACCCAAAAACATAAAGTAGTTGAACACCTCCAAGACTAGCTATATAACTCTTCACAAGTTTATTTAAGTGTAAACCAACTGAGTACTATGGAGTGGACTACTCCAATCAGTATGCTTAGTACTGCAGCCTTATGTCTTTTAGTGCAAATCACAATTTTAAAAGATGGTCCAGTTCAAGTTACGCATAACATTTTCTTACCTTAGATACATTACTAACATAATCTTGTTGTAAAGTACTTTCTTTATCAACTTGACTGCAAAGATTCTGCAAAGTAGATGCATACTCTTTATCGCTCTTTATTCTCATGGCCATAAATTTCTTCACTGTTTCTAACAGTCGTAACTCCCAATCTTGCAGTTTTAGCAAAGCTTCATGAGAGTACTTCAGGTCACTTCCAAACCCCATCTTCTATAAGGCACTAGATTATGAAGGGCAATTAGTAAAGTATTCTTCTGGTCAGCACATCTGGAAGCACAACAAGACTAATGAGAAAAATGTTGAAGGCATCTTCTAATTATATATAATTCTACCTTGCTATGACAAAGCAAGACTTCCTGCTCCTAAAATAAGAAGTCACCTATAGAGCCCTCTAAAAATATGATTTTGAAAGGATTGTATTTCTCAGACATGTTGCTCCACCAGAATCAACCACATCTGTTGGCAGCCTATACTAATATGCATGTCCCCAAATGACAAAACAGGTATGTGTGCACTAGCTATAAGTAAAATCAACAATATGATCAAAGTCCAGTAGTTTGAGGACAAAATGATTACACTGCTTCAGAGCAATCAGATGGCTGCTAGGAAGCCAGAGACAATAACGTATTTAGCTCACAAGCTTAAAGTTTGCTATATTCCCAGATGGTGGGGGAAGCCAAACAGCTTGTAAGTTTGCAAAATGTCAATTGCTCAAGCTTTAGTACACCTTTGCCAAAACCAAATTGAGAATTACCACAAAATAATGCAGCTACTGTTGATGGAATAAGTCCAAGTTCAAGAAAAACTGACCTTTGAAGTATATTGTGTAATAAATAACATTTCAATTCAATTCCAGAGCTTCAATCAATTATAGTCCACACAATAGTCTACCTGCCAGTACTTAGGATTGCTGTGCCCTTGTTGTTTTTTTAAGGCAATTTCTTGCACATTTATATCAGAACTAAGACAGTTCATGCAAGAAAGTTGTTTAACAAAGGTAAAAACTTATAGGAAGAGAAAGCACAAGTTTGAAGGAAATATAAAGATTTGCTCAGCACAGTGAAAGGAAAAAAAATGCAATAAATGTTCCGATCGGTGCACACCCACAAAGCATTTTCTGCAAAGGAATACCTCATCTACTTAAATCACAAATGTCGGAACATGCCCTAGGTGGGACACACCATAAATAATGACTAATGACACAAGGATCTTCTCCAGCTAAAGTTGACTACAAGAAAATAAAATTTGGCATACAAACCTTTTTAAAGTGATCCTTTCCACAAAGTTATTTTTTTCCAACAGTATTGCTTTGGCTCTTGGCACAGTTCTTCCAACTGTCTTTTCTTTCAATTTTGTAACCCTTTAGAAAAAAGAACTGCATAATTTAGTTTGCCAAACACATAAAGTTAAATGTCGTAAGTCTTAAAAGTGTATTAGACAGTGGCTCCTGCATATCAGAGGAGGAAAGTTTCAGTGAGACTTTCACAAAACAGACCATGTTCCCAGCTGCCTTCTCCAGCCATGGAAATTTGTTGCTGAGACCATCCTCTTGCTCTGTGCCACGAAACTTTGAGGTCCTGGTTGACAGCCATAGCTCTGGCCGCATCATGCAGCACTGGGCCTGAGCATGTAACAGGACGGGGGCAGAAGCAGAGAGGAAACACACACAGAGAAAAAAATCTGATAATCTCAGAGTTCCTCAAATGGTGGCACAAAAACCACCCCATTAATTGTGAGAACAAAAGGAAAATAATAGAGCCAGGAATCAACAGACATGATTCCTATTGTGTCAGCACAAGTACATAAAATCCACAATAGTTTTGCATCTGATGTCTTAACAATAAATTTCTTTACAATCTAAAAACAAAGCTCCAAATCAGTCAGAATTTAGTAGCAGACAGAAAAAAAAGAACAATCAATACATATCCATTCATGAACCTTGAAGAAACAATCCCTTCATTCTCTTGTAGACTCACTCAAACTGTATAGAGGAGGTTATTTCCTGGTGAGTCATGTGCCTAAAAGGCCAGTCTCCCATCCTGAAAACTAGGACTGCATCTCATTTCCAGTTCAGGGCTGGGCCACTGCCTACACCTGTGGTTCAGTAACTGGGTGCCTGGAACTCTGGGCAAGCTCCTGATTCCAGCAGGATCCCAGACTCAGTGGATGCTATCACTGGGGATCCTTGTCCAGGAGTCCCTTGGAAGGCAGATTCACTGTTTGAGCTGCATCTGGACCTAGTTCTTCCATGGCTTTTGTTACTGGTCTGAGCTAACTGGTCCCTCCTCATACAGATAGGTTCAAGTCTCATTTAGCTGAGGATCATGATAATGAATGACTGAAGGTTACTCTGCTGCATCATGAAAGTGTCGTATGTTCCTTGTACTGATTTATGAATGCTCATGATAAAAAAGATGTAAAATGGGACTAATCACCAGTACCCCATAAGGTATCTGAGAGGAAGATCTTTGAGCATACATTATGATGCTTATGGCAACCAAAACAACCCCATCAAAACAATTTGCATGTCACTATGTAAGATTGTAAATACTGATGAATGCCAGAGAAACACTGTTTGCTTAGTACTGTAGACACTCCTACAACTTTTGGAAGGAGACTCTGGTTTCTAATCCCTCTCCCATTCCAGCAGCCATGGAAAGAAACACAGAGGCTGCCTCCCAAGACTGAAAAGCCATTTCAGGGAAGCAAAAGGGGGCATTCTAGGGGAAGGAAAGTAGAGGAGAAGCCAGGACCCATACTATCTTGTGGCATCTTCAGGCCCAACCCTACCAGCTGACACTTCTACGTGGACTCAGTTGCCTGTCTAGCAGAAAAAAACTACAAGTCTCATGGAGAAGCAAAAATTAGCTCCATTGTTTCCTCTATTCTGCTAGAAATCTTCCAGGAGAGCAATGGAAATTGGGACCACTCCCAACACTGGAGTGCTCTTTCAAAGGGCATAGGATTGTGCCTTAACTTACAACACAAGCTTATTCATAGCCTCTTCTAGTCACTCATTCTAGGTGGATCTTTACAAATGCACAGACTAATTTTAAGAACTCCAAAAACTATACTATGCAAGCAGCGGGTCCTACATGGGTGTACGATAGGATACTACTATATGCTTGCATGACTTATGCTGGAAAACAGTGAATAAAAGTGTTTTTATACCTGTCTAGGAAACTTTCATTCAGCATTTTCAAATGAAAACTTTCATTTTGTCTATTCATGTGTCCAATAACCAACTGACACAAAGGAAATCTACATATAATGGGAGTTCAGACAATCCTCCACATGTTCACAGAAAACAAAAAGATGTCACACAAGGTAGATCAACTATATACAATCAACACATTCAGCACCCATGGGAAGGGCCTCTACACATGTACATCAATCAGCACATAGAACCCATCAAGTGCATCTGACAAGCTGATGATATGGCCACTGAGAATGTTATCAATGAGGTCCCACACCTCACACATTTCTTGAAGGCATAGGTGCAGATCATCTGAAGCCACTGCATCTGTACAGCTTGCTGGGTTAGGCCCCCACATACATACACAGACACAGCTGGTGTGTAACGGGACCTGGACTTTTAGGAGTACAAAATTATATTGTTTTAATTTAAATATACATAAAATGGCCTCAGGCCCCATCAATTGCCAAAAGGGATTTTAGCAATCTGATATTAATACTCTCTTAACTGTAGCCTAATCAAAGAGGCTGGATGAGTGTGTTGCTTTTTTTCCAGAAACGGCCAACCATACTTCTTTCCATCAACAGATTCTTTTCCTTGTCTCTCATGCTCTTCTACTTTCATATACATAATTCCCAAGATATCTGGATCCCAGAATAAAAATTCTGTTACTAAATTTGATAAATTAATCATGTATAAATTCTCAGTGCTATTCAATAACAACTTTCAACTTTATTACTGAATAAGCAAAGCTCAGGGAGCAACAGTGTCTTCTACCAATTTAACATTTTTAGTGGGTCATCAGTTGTACTATCAGTTAGAACTAAGGGTAAATATAAATATGAGAACTAAATATGCAGATCTCTGTTCTACACGAGATATAACCAAACAGTACAGTTTAAGTTACCGGAATTTAAAAATAGAGGTTCAGATTAAATAAAAGCTTGAGAATGAAAGAAATATTGAAGCAGCAGCTGCTTAGTAACACTATAGGACATCCAACTAGCCAAATCATTCTGGTACTCTTTTTTGGTAAAGCACTAGTCTGGTTATGAGGAAGGAAAACAAGTTCAACATCCAGAGCAATGCTCACTGAATTGCTTTGGGCAAATTACCATAATTACTCCTTATACTATCTCATTGGTACACCTAGAGCAAATCAGATAAGGATATGAGGTCACCTGCAGCAGTCCCTTGGGAATTAGAATGAAACCTCAAACACAAGTCCCACATGCTCCCAGCCTTGAAAAACTGAAGTGCACCTGAGGTTACTTTGAACATAGCACACAGAAGGGCAATAAACTTTGCCTTGTACCTAAGAAAATGCTCAGCTAAAGAATGGGAACCATTATAACTAGAGAATCACAGCTCATCATCATTCCTGTTTTAGGATAAAGAATGGCGGGAAAGCATACTGCAAAATATTCCTCCCTTGTGTTTTTGTGAGGCCAATAATAACTGGACAAAAGTGCCCGTAGAAACCAACGCTGTCAGGTAACTCTAATAGTTTAATTTAATTTATTTATTTTATCAATTTATATCCTGCCTTTTTCCTACAAAGGACTCAAGGCAGCTTACATCATTCTCCTCCTCCATCTTATCCCCACAACAAAGACCCTGTGAGGTAGGTTGGGCTGAGAGTCTGTGACTGGCCCAAAGTCACCCAGTTGGCTCCATGGCCAAGTGGGGACTAGAACCCAGATCGTCTGAGTCCCAGTCCCACGCTCTTAACCACTGCGCCAGACTGCACCAGTTTTAAATATGTTTGCATATTCCTGCATAGTTCAAGAGTCTCTCTGGAACAGGGGTTTCCAACCACCAGTCTGTGGACCAGCGCAGGCCTGTGGGAGATCTCCTGCTGGTCCATGGGGGTGAGGGCACATCCCACTTGCTACAAACCAGTTGAGGGCTGACTGTGCTCCACCATCTCTTCCTCAGTTGGCATCTTGTTCACAGGGGTGCACCACTGCAGGGGCCAGGGAGGGGAGAGACAACTCGGTGGAAGCCATGCCATGCCAATTTTGGTATGGGGGGGGGTCACATTTTTGTTGTCCTGTTTCTGGTTGTTTTGGAGAGTGTTTTTTTTTTCCCCTTTTTGGTATTGTTTGAAAACTAATACACAGAATACAGTATTATGTGTATGGTGCTTTTGTTTCTGCCTCAGTGTTCCCAGCTGTGGAAAGGTTGAAAACCACTGCTCTAGAACACAAACTACCATCTTTTAATGGCTCTGTAGCTAAACTGACTAACATTCTTCTATCAAGACAAACTATAGTGAGGAATGAAAGCTTCTCTTGACCATTGGAGTTTGGCTAGGTACTGACCACTTCTTGATGTAACAGCAGCACTCCCCTTATGTCATTTCCAAAAAGTTTGCAAGCATGATGGTAGGTCCCTCTTTCACTCATGTGAACAACTTTAGGAGACAATTACTATCTAAAAGCAGAATAAAATGTAGTAAATACACTATTAATATATTAGATAGTTGGATTTTAAATAAGCAGAGATATGAGGATTAAAAACATAGGAGGGCTTTCTATATCAGCTCCTCCAGCTTAATGTTGTCTACCCACGAGGTCTACCCAGTGTTCTCCATATGATTTAAACAACTTTCATCAGCTCCACCCAGCATGACTAGTCAGGGGTGATGGTAGATGTAGTCAAGCACATCTGAAAAACTGTAGATTGTCTATACTTCTTCCTAGTCTACACTGAATGGCAGCAGCAGGAGAGTGTTTCAGACCAGAGCCTTTTCTAGCACTACCCAGATATACTAGAGAACCTCAAATCTTTTGCATGAAAAGCATTAGGAAAAAGCTAGGGCCTTTCTTTCTTGCTGCAAAGTTAGAAACAGTTTCACACTTTTCAGCATAGCTAATAAGTTATCCTACTCACCCAACCTCCAAAAAACACACATGTAACAAGTTGAAATTTTTTTGACAGTGACACATTTTTATAGACATTAGATATTTTATTAAACACCACATAAGATTGAAAACCAAACTTTTTCTTACACAGAACACTGAAGACAACCACTACAAAGGGAATAAAAGGTCCTATCATAATTATGTGAAAATCTATTCTGCCCGCTTAGCTAGCCACTAGTGCTGTACAAAAAATAATGCCTGGCCAGGAATAGATCAGCTCATCAATGCTTTAAGAGCTGAGTTACACTTAAATGGATTGTAACCTTTAAGCAGAGGCATTCTTCTTCCACAAGTATGAAACACAATCACTTCTTTCCACAAAAATAGATGACATCCAAAAGGCTCCTTCTGGTAACCTGAAAAAGTTGACAACTGGACAACAGTTTCAACCTCCAGCTATTGTGTACAACTGAAGCTAACTGAATGCACTGCCATGTGTAACTTCCCACTGTACTCAAATTCTTTCTTTACTACTTCACCCATTCTCCTTTAAGATATCCTTTCTCCATCAGGATACACAAGCAGCAGTGACACCTCAGCAATGAGGCAGAGATAACTCATTTCACACTAACAACAACATGGAGGACTAGGCACCATTATATTGCCATCACTACCTATTCACCCTTTTCCTCTGTTGCCAAGGCACGGCGTAGCTCAATTTCTAACACTGCAAGACCCAGAAAAAAAACAGATGCATGTAAGTGGATGAAGAGAGCAGCTTATATGAAGAGTAACTGCCTCATTGTTTTACTTATCTGCAGCCCTGCTGGCCCCTAAAGAGAGGTAGCATCAGCCAAAAGCAGCCATCTGTCTCTACTTTCCCTTTGGGAAGCATTAAGTGAGAACTGGAACCAGACAAGAAAGTGAAAGGAGAAAGTTATTCTTCAGAAGAACAACTAATACTCCTGGCACTGCCTCTTCAAACAGGGCATGAAAAACCGGATGCCCAATGCTTGCAAGGAACAACCCAGTTGCTTCTATTGTCCTACATGCCTCACCTTGGTCAACATGACAAGGAGGACTGGCGCAGGCAGCTGACCAAAGGAAATAAGCAGAAGCTTCCGCAGTTTCCACATGCTTGCCTTTTGCCACTACTGTGCTACCACTGCCTGCACATCTCTTTACATGCATGCTCACCTCAACTAACCCTCTTGTTGGGGGCACAGAAGCAGCAGAGGCCACATACTGACCCCAGCTGCACTACCAAGGGGGATGCGGGCAAATGAAGAGAGAAATCTTTTGCTGCACAGTAGCACAGGGCCAACTCTCTACAGGCACCAACCTGTGCAGGGCAGGGAAAAAAGCAAGTAAAATGGGACAGTGCTTTCACTTGCCACCTGCCTTCTCTGTGTAGTGCAGAGGGCTCACTTCTTGCATTCAGTGAGAAAACAGGTGAATGATGAGAGAAGCAGCTGTTCTTTCCCAACCATGGCTCCCTTCCCTGCTTCCACAGGTCCCCAAGCAGGGCTACCGCTTGTGGCACTGTTTGCTCTACACATCACTAAGCAGGGCCACCAGCATCCATGGCCCACTAAGCCCCATTGTTCTTTGGCCCCACCAGAAGTGGGAAGATGCACGAGTGAGACACTTGGCGGCTGCGATGCGAAAAATCTCTGCCGAAGTAAGAATCCGCCGGAGGCTCCTACATGGTCCGTCCCCACCCGCCTCCGCCTTCCACCATGACCTGGCTGAGGAAACAGAGCACGACCGGGTCGCAGGGGAGCCATCGCCGACCCCCGCCCAGGAGTACAAGCCAGGCCAAGCAGCCAGTGCCCACCCTCCTCCCCCGCTCCCAACGCAGGGGAACTGCTGCTCCAGCTGTGCTGACAAGCGCCGGCAGCGGCGCCTCCTTCTCTTCCTCCTGCTGCTGCAGCCGCCTTCTTCTTCCCTCCCTGCCATTATCCCTGGAAGCAACTCCCCGGCACCACCCCCGCCCACCCCGCAGGCCCAGGCACCCGCTCCCCGGCGACCCCCGCGCCCTCTCGAGCGCCCCCGGCCACTCCCGCCCTCCGCCCGCCCAGCCCCAACCCCAGGCAGAATCCCACGGGCAGCACAACAAGCCCCGAACGAGACGTCCACCTACCTGACAAGCTGAGCCCTCCGCCACAATACGTCCGTCACCGACCCCGCCTATGTCACGTGAGACAGGCTTGGCGAATCCGCTCCCGCTGCTCTAGCCGCCGCCGGCCAATCCACTCTGACCTCGCTTGCCGCCGCCGGCCAATCCGAGCGCGCTCTTGGCTCCTCCCGGAGGGCGGGGAGAACACCTGGCCGACTAACCAATCCATAGAGGCAAGAAAACGGTCGCTCCCACCCCCTGAAGTTATGTTCCCAAGGTGATTGGCTGGCTCGCGTGGGTGGGAAGGGGCAAGAAGAGGATGTTAACTTCCTTTCATTGAGTGGAGAGAAGTTGTGCGGAAAGAAAGGGAAGAAAGTATTTCGGGCTTTTGCTGTCACTGCTGCGGGTCTTCCTGGTTCGAGCAGTTACCGTCAAGGTCCGCTTTAGTACTTCCTTTCCGCTAAGCGTGTGTGTGGCCCGATGCCCTGCGTCTTTCTTTGAAATGAAGCCCACTGAGTTCACCCCTGGGACCTGCTCGCCGTCGCCTTGGGCAGACAGACTGGAGTGAGCCCTATCAGTTCAGGGGGACGTCGAATGCTCTCCCAAGACATGCCTCCTCAGCCCTGCCGAGTTTCATGACACTTTAATGTAAAGGCCGAAACAAATGCAACTTTATATCTACCCGCTATGTATTTTTAGAATCTGGAACATTTGACGACCTCTTCTAAAGGGAAGACTAAACCAGAGGCAGCCTGTGACCTGCACCTCCTCTCCTCCCTCACCTTTGGCCATATTGGCTGAGGCGGATGAGAATTGTAGACAAAAGCATTGAAGGACCACAAGTTGTTCACCCCTGCTTTAAACTGTAGTCCAAAATAATTTAGGCAATTTCATATCACTTAAAGTTGAAATGCAGAAATCACTTAGTTTGTGAGAGTAATTAGGAGAAAAAAACAAAAGGGTGGGTTTTTTGGTTTTGTTTTGTTTTGGGGCGGGGGGGGGGAGACCTGAAATGTGTCCTATAAGTTGTTGACAGCATCCAGAGCAAGCAACCTTGCATGTGTGGTGAAATAATGGACTGTTGAAAGTCCCACTGCCCATGTGCATGCTTGAAAGGAAAGTTTCCAGGAGCAGCCATATTTCTCTTATGCCTGCAAGTTCCTTCTTTCTCCTGTTGTTTCGTGGTATGAAATCCTGTGTAACTTGGCAAAGGTGTTTAACAATGCTGCTGAAAATGGTTCAGGATGCAAATACTGTGTTGTTTCATTTAAGATAAATATGCATGCCTTTACAAGATCACTCTCTTAGCTGCTTTGCTATCCCAGTTAAGGATGTCAATATTTTGTTATGCTACCTGCAGGTACTCCTCATGTCTGATGTGACACAGATGAGCTCCCATTCAAAACCATTCTGCCTCAGGACCCTCCCATCTAGAGTCCTTTTAGTGCTGCAGAACATTATTTTTCCACACTTAGTAAAATGTGGAGTTAAAATACAAGTTGCAAGTGGCACTTAGCATAGCACAATATTCTATAGTAATACACCTACCCTGTGTCTAAGTTCCTTCTATACAGG